GGGGATAGCTAGGTCAGTGTTCTGTCATAAGTCTCTGTCTGTATGTGAAAACTGGTTATGGAGTCCTACAACCCAAAACTCCAGAGGTAACGGCTAGCTGAAAAGCCTGCCTCTTAAGTCTTGGTTTTCTTCTCGAGGAATTTCGGTTGTAGACTTGAAATATTTTAACTTGTGTAGGGGTAACTCAAGGATTTTATGAATTTTGTGGTTAAGTTCTATAATATATTTTATAACCAATATGATTTGATAACTTAAAAACTAAGTAAACAAACTATGTTAAATTATCTTGATGATATCAACAGATTATATGACTTATAAACCCTCCCATTCTTTTAAGCACTCAAATAAAATGGATAACACGGAATGATCGAGTTTTCAATTTCTGCATATGGCTTGTTGTATCTCATCTAACATACTCTTCGTAAGAACAAATCCAATTGTCTTAGCCTAAGGTGTTTCGATACTTCAACACCAGGCATATTTAGGCTTTTGACTGTTTGCTAGTTGCTACAGAATGTATGTAGCCCATGTATCAAAAAGTGGACAAGTATTCTAATTTGTGGCAGATATGAAGAAGGTTAATAAATCCATTTTGAGCCAACGTCCTGTCCGGAGAAAGTTAAATGTATTTTTAGATTTGTTTTCTGTGACATGCTAGCATTTCATACGTATAAAGTTATGCCACTTTGTACTCTTTTGAAACATCATCTTGTCAGTGGAAAGAAAAATGAGTTACTCATAATTTTTATGTCACATAGTGCTGATAAACTATACCTCAACATGTTTTAGCTCCATGGTTCCATCCATCAGTTCAATTAACAACTCATGATTTTGCTCTGGTGGTTCAACACCATCAACAATCTTTTGGTACTGCAGCAAGCTTTCTAAGTTTGGCATAGAAGTTGTCAAAGATAATCTGATGCAGTTCCCCTCAAATTCAACTATCTTAAGACCAGAACATGCATCTTCAAACTCCTATGTAGCCTCAAACCTGATCATACCGTAAAATTAAATGCACCAACGTTAGATACGAGAGAGTACAGAGAGCTATGCAGAGTCTATTTTGGAAAATACCTGTTGAAAGTACTCTCGAGATCTTGCAATGACTTCAAATTCATGTTGCTCTTCTCAAGCTGATTACCTAATTCTAAGATCTACATTAAAAGGAGAAACAATGATACAGTAGGGGTATCCTTCAGTTTTCTTTTAAAGAAATAATGGAGCAACAGCAAATATGCTTTGGCAGTTCACAGTAGAAAGGTTGTTATACAATGTGATACTTGAGACCACCAATACATTAAAAATCATTGATGCATCAGCAACTGACAGCAAGATAACTGTTATTTCTCAATAAGAGAGCGCTCAAATTGTAAGGTCAAAATTGCATTAAGATAATGATATCTAGCGACTCTAAGTTGTCTTGCAATACGGAAAAGATGTAAGAACCTTAAAGTTATATTCTGCAGATGCATTTGACAAGTTTCCTTTATCTTCTCCAGGTGTAGAACAAGCAAAATTTGCCAGTACTCTTCCACGTTCAAGTCCCTAATACATATAACATAAAATACAATAAGTATAACAATGACGAGCATTTGAACAAAGTTAGGAGAGCTAAGACACAGAGAAGCATGATAAGATTGAACATAAGACTTGGAGAAGTAAAAGAGAAAAAGATAGAAAAGGGCAAGAAATTGTTCACCAAGCAAGTAAAACTCAACTTCTGATAAAAGTGAAACTTTCTCTATTGGTAATTTTATCAAAACTAACTGCTTCAGCAGTATAGCAAAAGTATACATGCTAATCTTCCACTTAAAAGGATTCCATGATTGACAACTTACCATTATTTTTCAAATGAAAAGAACACACAGTAGAATTATGTAAGGATTGCAACTGAAAGAAGTGAGACCCCATAAAGAAGATGCAAGTTCCAATTATGCAATTCATTAGCCGTTGGTCAAATTTAAGTTTCTTGCCACAATATTCTTCACGTAGAACTTGAAACTGCAGAGCCGACTCACTACCAAACAAAAGGCAAACACAAACTTCCTTACTCACTCATCCTCTTAAGAAAATAAACACAACGATTGAACTTACTTCCAGCCAAAATAAGAGATATTAAACAAAACAAATGGGCAGGAAAAGCTAAGAATTTTTCAAGTCCCTGCTTCTTAATGTTTGTTCCATAGTCCATTCACCCACTATTAATCATGCGGAGAAAAATGCTCCCAAAACATAACACATGCTATCTTCCACAACACCTCCCTATGTTTTCAGACATCTAACCACATTCATAGAATTTACATGAGGCTAGTGAGGAAAATAATATTCATTTCTAAGTATCACCAAACTTTTGCACGTCTTTTCTTATCAATGAAACTACCAAATTTTTCCACTGTCACCAAATAAGAGCATGATGATCCCTCTTCGTATCTTCACAGAAGCAACATCATGAAAACTTTGTGCTTATGTGCTCCCTATACATGGAAGATACGGTAAGCGTGCAACAGAATGAAGTCCATTACTGCCAAACAAGCTTGAAAAGTTATCAAAATCTTATGCACTACCATAATTAATAACAACTTCAATAGAGAATTAGATCACACGGAAGAGTTAGAAATTGTCACAGTTTACATTCTTCCACCCACCTGCAGTTTATTTGGTATTTCATCTTTAACACTTTAGTTCAATCAGCTACACGAACAAGACAGACAGATACCATAAAACTATAGCATGTCCAGTTGTTAAGGAACCAAGTAAATGTGTCTATTATACCTGCAAGCAATCCCCCTCAAGCCCTCCCTAATCAACAAACTCAGTTTATGTACAAGTAGCATCAGGGGATAAACAGTAACAAACCTGTGATTCAATAAGCTCCAAAGAACAACTTAAGCCTTCAATCCCGTTCCCCAATTTGCTATAACCTACAGAAAAAGAAAACATATCAAAATCAGAGCTCAGGCAACGTCTTAGTCCCACATATATCTGAACTTTCCAAAACCACCAGGAATCCTCAGCACCTTCAACATATTCCCTTGAAAGCCCCTCAATTTCATCTGCTATTTTTGCATTTTTAGCCTCCTCTGTGCTTAGCTCATTCTTCAAATATTCCCAAAATTCATCTGAAGTTGCAAAAACGAGGTTTAAATGGAAGATAAAGCTCCCTCCAAAGATATATGTGTGTGTGTCTGTGTGTATAATAAAGCTCCTGCCAAACATATATGTGTGTGTGTAATACATAGACACCAACACACACACATGGAGCAAAAAAAAGATATAAAAGCTTTTCTTCTACCTATATCCTGATCAGAAGAGAAGCTAACTTCTGAAGCATCATACAATATATGTTCCACTTTGCCTGCAAAAGCATACATAGAGAACAAACACGACATTGACAGAAAAATATAGTGAACATTTCAGGCCGTCAAAGAAAAAAAATCAAATTTAAAAAGAACCTCTCTTGGTCCCAATTTATTCATTCATTGTCCCTTATCCAGAGTCAAATTGATAATTTTCGGAGCTAACGTGTTTGGTATCGTTAATAATGTCTTGTTTGATGAAATCATTTTTCATTGTTTGGTTATCGTAAATAGTGAAAAATGTTTTCTTCAATGAAAATAATTTCCACATAAAAGTGGAAAATGGCTTCTTTAGCTTATGACAAGAGTCATTTTCCTTTCCAAATATCCCAACTCGTACTCCATGTTACTTGTTTCGATAACTCTTAGACATTGTTTTCAACCTACACCACTCAAAGATATATCCAACTAACAGTGGAAAATAATCCAGAACATTTTCCTCAACCAAAGGCACAACTGAAAACAGTTAATTTATTTTCCTTTTAGCTATATACACTGACAGTATAAAGGAATTTTTACACCACCAGTATAATTTAACCTGTTGTAATAGGTTAATCACCTTTTATGCTAGTTTAACAATCAATACTTGTTAATAGAATTACCTGCAATGTCCTTTAAAGCTATGTTACTCGGACTTTTCAAAAATGTTGTTGGGTATGTGTCGGATCTTCCAAATTTAGTGCATTTTTGGAGGATACGGCATGGGTGCGGCAGCACTTTTAAAGAGTTCGAGCAACATAGCTTTAAAGTGACCTATATAAATATTTTTTACACTGTCATAACTTAAATTCTTTAGATATTTTGGGTGTGCTTGGTATGGAAGAAAATATTCTTCAAAAAATATTTTCAAATTTTCTCATATTTGATTGGTCGGAATATTTTCTATAGGAAAACAAGTTCCTTAAAAATCAAGAAAATAACTTCCCCGTGAGAGCAGGGAAAACAAGTTATATAAGATAACTGCAAATTCTATTCTAATATATCAAAATGATAAACGAGTATGCTCAACTAGTCAATTTAACCTGACCAACTTCTGGAGCTAAATCACGCAAATGTTAATACAATAAATTCATTTTTAACTAAAATTTGAATATTTACAAACTATCCATAAAGCAGTGAAAAATAAAAACAAAGTGCTATAAAGTTCGAGAATCTCCAAAATTCTCTTCTTCTTTTTTTTGTACCTCAAACTGAAGTGCAGAATCTTCCAGTAATTTCTTCAATTCTAAACCGCATGACTCTGGATCTTCAATACAGCTTCTTTGAATATCTCTAAACTCTTGAATATTCCTATTATAACCATAATATTCAAAACAAAAAACAAATATCATTAAATAAGCACAAATAAATTACTGTAGCTTGAAATTGAGAAATTTAAAAATAAGAAACCTGCGAAGCAAATCAACATCACTGTGACTTGGATTTTCCATTTTTTGACTCGAATTGATAGCTGACACTGATTTTTTATTTTTTTGGGGGGCTGTAATTCAAACTCCCGCCATTGTTATACGGGTTTTGTGGTTGTGTTGATACTTGATATGGAGGACGAAGAAAAATAGAAAATGGATATGGATTAGTAAGGGGTGAAATCGAAAAATAGCCAGATTTACCGATAATTAAAAAATAAGCACAGTTTCAAAATTAATCAAAATTTAGCCAATTTTCACATAAAGATAAATTTGAACGAAAATACGGTTCAAAATACAGAAAATATTCTAGCATAATATATTAGAGTTCGAATTTTTATATGTAAACTTTTATCATAATATACTGGAGTTCAGCATAATATAATGGTCCAGCATAATATGCTGGAAGTTCATATACGGGTGCCCCAATCTCAAGTATATTATGCTATAATTTTTTGTGTTGCAGTAAGGTAATGGTTATTTTTCAATGACTTTACAAATGCTTATTATTTTTCAATTATCAGTCTGTGGCTAGCCTTATAAGCCCACTACATTTGGGCCCAACATGCTCTCTTTACAAAGAAGAAATGGCACCATGTAGCTTTGAACACTCTTATACAATATCTAGTTTTTAAAACTAGTTAGTCCTAAAAATAATTGCATTGGCCAAAAAAAAATATAATATATATATATATATATA